GAAGAAACAAAAGGAAGGCTGTAATGCTTGAGGCTCTAAAGAGCAAAAGGCACAGACAACTTGTAGCTCAGAGAAGATATCTCTCAATGACACGTTACAATCAAACCCAAAAGGGAGTTGTAAGGCTGAAAGCGCAAAAAGTAATATTGTCAAAATCATCTTATGTACATACAACAAAAGAACAATCAGAGCTGAAGATGATTTTAAAAGTCTGACTGAGGAGCTAAGAAACATCTCTTAAGGCATTGTTGGACTGAGCAAAACAAAATGCAACGGTGAAGGACTAAGTAAACTAAAACATAGTATATGGATCTATGAGGTCGGAAAAACAGAAGAGAACACAAATGCAAAAGGCATAGCATTCATAATACATCCAAGACTAAAGGACTACATTGAAAAGTTTTAAACACACTCAGACAGAGTTATATCCTGCAAACTGAAACTTCAGGGAGATATATTAGTACAGATAATACAGGTGTATGCACTGACTCAAGACCATGATGATAAAGAGATAGATCAGTTCTATGAGAAAATAGAAAACGTCACTGAAAAAGACAAGTGCAAGTACCACATAATTATAGGAGACTTCAATGTAAAGATTCGGGATCAAAAATAAGAATGAGAATACCAGATGTATGGGAGCATTTGGAATTGGAGAGAGAAATGAAAGAGGCAAGAGGCTAATATAATTTGCTGAAGCCAACTGTCTGATCATAGCAAGGACATATTTTGAAAAACCCTAGAACAGATACTGGACAGAGGGGTCACCTGATGTAAACACAAAGAACCAAACAGATTTTTTACTAACTTCTATAAGGAACATCATTAAGAACTGTGAGGTCATAACAAAAGTGGAAGCAACCACAGAATGGTGAGAGGGAAATTGAAACTGGAAAAGAAACTGGTACATCTAAAGAGAATCCAGAGAAACAAATCTTTAACAACAAATATACAAATGATAGAGAGATACAAGAAGACATTTCAACTACAGCTTAAAAACAGGTATGAAGTGCTTAGTGAGGAACAGGCAATGCCAGAAACTCTGACTACAATCTTACAGGAAGAAATAAGTTCAGTACAAGATGTGTTGGCAAAATCCAGGAAAAACAGGTCAGATGCAGACAAGGACATCAAAAAACTAAATACTAAAAGAAAGGAGTTAAGAAGAACACAGGTAGCCCATTGTGTAGCTTTGTGCTTAATTACAAACAAGAAACTCACAAATAGTATTGGTACGTCACTCATTATCCCATCTATACCTGGTGCTTTTCTCTTTTTCATTTGTTTCATTGCTCTTTCCATTTCATGCTCTGTTATTGGTTGTACTTGCTCTCTGTCTAGAATGGTTTTACTGTGTTTGTCTGGCCAGTGACTGTTGACTGGTACAAATTCTTTTAGAAGTTGGAACAAACTTCCAGCATCTCTGTTCTTTCTGATGTGATCTCACCTGATGATTTCTTCATTTTTTATTTTTCCTTTGGATCCACGTTTTTATATATCCTTTGGTCCACTACCTTTCTGTAATGTTTCCTCAATCATTTCTTTAATTTTCTGTCTTGCTCTCGCTCTTCTTTTATTTTTGACAGTTTTGTTCAGTTCAGCATATTCTACCCTTTCTCTTGCTATTTTGTTCATATTTTTTGCCCACCACGGGTATCAAAACCCAGTTTCTAGTGTTGTAAGTCCACAGACATACTGCTGTGCCACTGGAGGGATACTAATACTAGGTGGCCAGGAAGTATTGAGTTGTTTAACCAGAATATATAATGAAATACTACTATCAAGAAAAGTACCACCTGGTTGGAAAGAAGCAAAGATCATTGTTCTTTTCAAGAAGAGCGACCGCAAAGATATAAAGAATTATAGACCTATCAGTCTACTGTCACATATGTA